CATTAAACCAAGAGATAGGAGATTAAAAGGATGTGATTTAGCTTCAGTAAAAATAAAAAATTAGTATGATAACTAAATTTCCAAATATAATAATATAGGGCAAGAGTAATAACATTTCAAAAGCCCCCAAAGCTGTAAGAACATGTAATGTTTATGATGAGCAAATTTAAACAATTTTGTTGTAATAAAAGTCATGTATGTTTTGTCAGAACTCCTGTATAAAGAAATGAATGACCATTTTTCTTTCTGACCCCTTACCACAGAGTCCATCACGGATCACTGCCCAAGATTAAAGACTCAACTCTGACTCCTCTGGTTCCCTAGTTAGTATGGTGGTAGTGTGGTTTTGAAGGCTTACCGTATTAAGAGTAAAAAAGGCTGAAAATAATTAGGAAAGAGGAAAATTTATTTTGATGATAATTGTAATTGCGTTTTTAAGATTTGTCTGGAAAGATCTCTACGATCTCTATCCTCCCCCAGAAATGCAAGTAAAGAATTTTTGGTCCAGCCTTTTGAGTCTGGAGGTAGCAGTCTTACGGTAATAGATGATGGTCAGTTATCACCCAAGAGCGGCTCTGATGCAAAAAGCCTTGCTCCCTTTTCCAGATTTATTCTTGACCAGAGACACTTTTTCCTGTGAATGCTCATGGTGCACTCAGTCAACCTTCTCCCTGGCTCCAACTTCCTTGCAGGTCTGGGTGGAACGCACCGAGAAGAGGGATCTTCTACACCAAGACCTGCAAATTCTCTTAAAGGTCTTGCAGATCCTGCATGCTCTTTAGTTGTATCTGACTAACACCGAGTAGTACTCAATTTCATTAGTAACCTTTCGAAAGCTTTTTCTGAAGAAGGTTCTCCAGCTACAGTGAGGAATGCATTACACCTATCATGCCCATATGTTCTGAAGTTCAGCTGCATTCTGCAGAGGCCTCCGTGTTGCTGCGTAACAGTTAACACTAACGGATTGATAGCTTGAGTATGTACACCACTCACGTGTTCTCCCCACAGCATGCCAAGCAAAACGGGCAAACTACATCTCCCAGAAAATCCTTTCGCCACCACTCAATGTAACATTTTTCTTAATCTCCCTGGTTATTCTTATGGACTATATATAAATTATTGTCACTTTCAAGATAAAATTATTCAAAATGCAACCAGATCTTTCCCATTTAAAACAGAAGTTTATACAAACTGTATTGGCTCCCAAATTCTTAATTTGATATATTTTATAGGTCAGTTTCATAGGAAAAAAGGGAAGGCTTCTGTGTGTTTCAAAGCAATACTAACAAAAGCGAAGTTTACACGAATAACAAAATTGCGTTCTCAGAACAGAAATGAGTTGCTATAGTAACATTTTCTGTAATAATTAACAAAAGAACCCAACAAATTCAACTACATTAAATGCTATCTGAGAGAAATGTCAAAATACTTAAGTAATATACGTTACAAGCCAGGCAACAGGCACCAATATAATTAGTGTTCGGCATTTAAAAGTAGAAGTGCATAAATAATTTGGCCATTTAAGTTTTTTCAAACTTTGTAGATTACACTCAGGACTGAAAAATTCCCACACAGATGCTTACTGCTGCAATACAAGAGTTAGCACAATATATATTTACTTCCTGAGGAACAGCATTTGTGCTCAATTAGAGGAGACTGATTTCTGATATATCATAGGTCATAAATAAAAATTGTAATTGTACTTTAGACCTTAAGACTCAGGTTTCTAGTTTAATGTTCTGCAGAGTTGCAAAGGACATAAGACTGTAGTAAGTAAAACTTGCTATTTAGGAATATAAGCATACAAGTATGGGAAAGCTACTGATTATATTTAGCAGGAAGGGAAACCTATGCCAGATTAACTGCAACGCATTTATGCAGCGTAAATAGCTTACCTGAATTAGCCTTTAACCTGAAAGACTTATCTCACCACAGCAGTGCAGACAAAAATCTGTCATGTAGTCAAATTTGTAGTTGCACAGATACCAACATTCTAATTCTAATATTTATATTCAGTTAAAAAAAAAAAAAGCCAAAGCTACAATCTCCATAATCTAACTTAAAAAAAACCCAGGTAAGCATAATGTAAGTGAAAAGTAGTTACCACTGACCAAAATGATTACTTGTATTACTAACATGGGTAGGAAACCTGGTTTTAGGCCAGGATCTCTCATTATGCTTGGCACAAAGTAAACAACAAAAACGGGATCAATCACAGGAAAAATCTTGCATTCCAGGTTTAAGACAAGAGCATGATGAGTAGAGATGGAGATATGAGGAAATCATGAAACTGTAAGTGGGCAGCGAATCTCAATACATCAACATCCCATCAGTTATCGGGTCTTAGAAAACACCACGAAATGAAAGTTGTTTGGGAGGGGCTAATTTTGTCTTCCTTACAAGATTGGCAGCATGAAAAAACCAGCAAAATGAATATTTAAAAATTGAAGTAGGGTGGTTAGACTGTCATTAGGAGTCAGTCATAGCTATGCATTAATATTTCAGCAGCAAGACATTCAACTAGATGTTAAACATCAGATTGCCTCTTATGTTATACTCAATAAAGCATAGAAGCACTCTTAAATAAACCATACAGTGAACTTGCAGCCTTTAACTTGAGAAAATGAGTGAAAAAAATATGTTGGTACAGCTCTAGAAAAAAACCTACTGCTTCTGTACACAGCTAACAGCAGCCATGGCTTTCTAGTTCTTTTTTCAGCATACAATGGATAAATACCATAAAAACAGGCACTAGCGTAAGAATAGACTTCATGTACAGTCAAAAAAAGTTTGTCTTGGTACTTCCCTGAATGCTATTAAGCCATCCTACACGTAGAGTGAGTAATCTAAAACATTCTTAGCTGTGCCACACACAACTCAGATGACTAACACTAGGGGAAAAGAAAATGTTTACGGTATATGTCTTCACTTTACCATTACTTATTTTTCCATTTCCATTCCAACTCAAGCTTCACACAGAAAAAAAACTTAGCATTAGAGTCTTGTTTCCTTGTGTTTCAACTTGAAAAGATTTGGAAAAACTTTTAAGTCAAAATCTTTTCTACTCATCACCTGCATTTCAAAGAAAATTCTAATAATTAAAAAAGCTTTCCAAATATTTTTTCATTTTCTTCTGAATACATTTCCCAACACACTTACTGGAAATTTAGCTTAAAATTTAGCTGACATTTTAGATCCTCCTGGACAGCAATGCCCTAATCATGTCACAAAACAGCACAGACTACCACCTAAATCTTTCCATTACTTTTTTAAAAAATAGATATGTAATAACAAAGCTTTCAGCCAAAAAATAGGTAAATTTAAAAAAAAAAAAATAAAATTCAGATCAGCATAAATGTTGACCAAGAAGTACCAATTGCAGTTAAGAGTTTCTTATACCAAAAAGCAATACAAATCCAACAGTCTTCTCTCGCTTTCTCTCTCAAAAAAACCCTCTGCAAAACAGAACAGAAACCCTGCAGTGCATGATGCTTACGCTCTACCACAAACTCAAGCAAGTTACGTTATAGTACCACCAGGTAGCTAACATGAAAAATAACACTTAGGCTTAAGGGAGAATACAAAACAAGGGATGTCTGACAAAATTAAAGACAGCCTTCATTATATGAATAATTTTGTAAACACCAGGTATTTTAAAACACTCGCTCCTTATGTAGTCAGTGTCTTCTCTGAAGAATGTTAACAATGAAGGTCTGAACAGCAGGCTTCAGAGTAAAAATGTGATCACGCAGTTTTCTCTCCTCCTCTGAACCTCTTTCATGTTATTACAGGCGCTGCTGCCTGCCTGTTTCTACACTTCCTGTAGACTTCCTAGGACTATGAAAATATTATGCGCATATTTTTTCACTGTTCAACTAGGTATTAAAAAATGTAATGCTGATCAGGCAGTGTTCCTGACTTAATTGTTTAATTACTCAAGTGTCAATAAACGTAACAATGTCATTTCTGTGATGGTTTTCTACGATGAAGACAGAAGTAGGCACAATTACCAAGTAGCCGTACAATTTCAATAAAATTTTATGCCTGCAAAACCACTGAAATGGAAGTCATCTACTCCACCATAAACTAAAGACTTCCCTCACACCAGCAGTTCAAGAAAACCTGAAAATAATCATCAAAGAATCATTTTAAATAACCACACTGCTTTCAAGCCACATCCTTAAGAAAAAACAAAAGCCTGATCCTACTCATGCCTACTCATGTTACTGAATCCTGTTACCTACCTGAATAATCCTACTGATTTTAAAAATTGTATTATTTGTAAATTCAGTCTTCTTTTTTTTTAAATGTACAAGTAGACTACAAATGCTTCAAGTATCTGAAGCACCTCATCTTCCACGGTCGTATCTAAACTGGTTTCATGAAACTTTACCCAGTCTGTTGGCTGTGTTGATCAACTACTAATCCCCCTGTCAATGCAGAAAGGTTTCTAATCAACAAGAGAAATGAAGTACTGGAATAGCATTCCGATATGCTGTCTTTGCTAGTCCGCACTTCCTTTTTCAATGGAGCTCGAAATGTTTACTGATAGGACTATACAAAGTGACCACCCAGAGCAGTAAGGCACCGACGTCTGATACTGGAAATCCATGCAGCCCTTCACACTACAGCTGCAGGCACGTTGCATGTATGCTGGGTAAATTTTATAGTTTGCAGAATCTACAAATAGAAACCAAGGAATAAATGGTTCCACCAACGCTTTAATATTTTTTTTTTTAAGTGTTCTCTAAAATTCAGCATGTATTTTAAAAATGATACCCACAAGTTGTAACCATTCTTAGAGTTTGGAAGCAAGCCAGATTTTTGGTCATGAAAGAAAGCTTGCTTCCGTTATATCACCTGGAGAAAGGAAAATTTCTTTTACATTTATGGAATTGAATTTCACTGTTTTTAATGTGGTTGTTACATACACGCACAATTAATAAACTAGAAGAATCTATTCCTTTTGAACACATATAAACAAAAGTAATTATTTTTACCAGATCCCAGTCTATGCTGCGGAAAAATGTATGAGACTTGATATCAGAAAATCCTGTCTGCGGCTGACAACCAAGCCTTTCTTTGGGATCCTGCAGAAAACACAGACACTCGTATTACATACGCTAAGCCAGTTACAGCCCATGTTTGTCAAAAGCCGACATACGACTCCAGCATTCCCTATTAGTACACAAACTGCTGCTAAGATACACATATTATGGCTATCAAGGGACTTTTTGTTCTTTTTCTTTTTATGAAGTTTGTTTGAAATTTCATTTTTAAACAATATTTTACATTTCTTCTTACATTTTACAATTCTTAAAATAAAAAAATCTAGAATTTTTTTTTAGTAATGTATAATTCATATCCTTCTTTTCTCCATTAAAAATGATAGTGGTTCTACAGATTTCAATCAGCTTACTTAAATGAGTACTAAGTATTACAGAAAAGAGTTTATAAACAAGCCTATAGCTATTTTTTCCACTAGGTGCAGGCTTTTAAATCAAGTCTGTGCCGTGGAATTCCCTCAGTAAATTAGCAACTAAAGAAGTGGGATTTTTTAACATACAGGATACCAAGGTTTTATAGATTTTCTTAATAGTAAGCAGATTAACTTCTTAGCTGTATTGCTTTCAATAGGAAGCTCTGACTTCCAGATCTTAGATGCTAAAAATAAGAGAATGTTATTTACCTTGTTTAAAAATCCTTTTAACACATGGGAAGCCTTGACAGAAAGAAACCTTGGAATCCGGATTGGCTTCTCAAGAATAACTGTTACAGGTTTAAAAACAGCGATATTGTTTTTTGTTTTATGACATTGACCATGATTTCAATACAAACACTGTATTATTTAAATATGTTATCATTTGGAAAATGGGAAGATATGGTAATTATTTTAAATAATGCAAACAAAAGGAGCTACAGTAATTCAAGGCACTGTTATACTGACATTTCAAGATTTCCTAAAAGAAATGTTAGCTTCATTATCTTTTTCTATTGTTTGCCGTATAAACAGGGAATAAAACTTTTTCAGTGTCCTCAGTATATGGAAAAGTGTGATTTTAAACAGTAATTGATTAATATTAGGCTCGTCAAGACCACCATGGCAGATTGTTACACAACTGCAGTAACTAGTTTAAAGAATGGTTCTGCGTATTAGGGAGTAGGCAACTTCGCAATTCCCCAAACTGTTACAGAGTTTCTATTGTAATAAATATGGCAAGTATTACTACTTTTGTTTAGAAAAATTCATACACCACTATCCCTGAAGGGTAAAACTGTAAAAAAGTTACATTAATTTCATCAGAAGTTTAAAAAAAAAAAAAAAGAAAGGTATCTGGAGCAAAACTACACATTGATATGTTTCTGTCAAAAAGATCCTCCTATCCTCTCATGTAGCACTGAACTTTAAAATTCATTCTTGGCCTGTGGACTGCCTTCTAACAAAGATATCATTCCATACAATTTCTGTCTGTTATTTCTGAAGTGTAGACATTTTTTAAAAATATTTTATTGTCTGAAAAAGGCTTCCTAATTCCAGATTATTTTATCTGAGTTCAGCAAAAGAAATTCCTGGGACGAAGAACTGGAAATATTGGGGCCCTTTATCTACAGTAGATCTACAGGCAGCTATAGGATAACAATGGAAAAGGAAAACCTGGCTGTCCTACTGGAACTGCTAATTTTCATTATTTCTCCCCCAAGAAAGAAAAAAAAAATAGCCGAGTGACTGTACCTTGGAAGAGGTAATCTTCAGTGTTCATGTCGGGATTGTCAGTGATAATATCAAATGGAGACCTTCCTGCCATCATTTCAAACATCAACACACCGAGAGCCCACCAGTCCACACTGAACCCTGTAATTATTCAGAGCAGATTTTCAGCCAGGACTCCTTGAATGTAGGTGTCGTCTCTCATATAAATGAGGATTAATGGCCTGGTTCTACAAAGTACTGAAATTCTCTACTGTCACTGAAGCCACAGACATCATGACTTACACTATCACTGCATGAGACTTGAGAGGGTTTTCTGAATTGGAATTACAAAGGTAATCTGTACAGGAGTTTGGAGGTGTTTGCCAGACAGCAACGCTTCAATGAAAATTCAGTGTATTTAAGCTGGAAATTTTCAGGGTGGTTTTTCTTTTTTTTTTTTTTTCCAAAAGAAGTTTAACATTATAGTGTCTTACAACTAAATGACAGATTCAACATATTGATCACTTCACAAATAACAACACCGGTTAAAAAGACTATTATACTTTTGAATTCTGCATGAGCAATAACTTTTTGTCATAGCATTCTATAGCCTTGTCTGGAGGACAATAGCAGCTGGGATGTCAAGTTCTTCAGGGAGTGGACTTGATTTTGCTACAGTATCATTTAATAGTTATTTTTCAGGGAAAGGATGATTTAAAAGAAGCTGAAATGAGTGATTTGATGAGAGGAAAAACAAAAATAACCTTATTATTTCAGAAAAAAAATAAACTGTACAATAAGCATTCCATTTTCTCAACATAAAATGGCACCAAAATGTGGAAATCTGAAAATAACTGTATTTGAGCCAACCTACAGCTAGAACTTACTTTGTGATTTATTATAACTACGAATTGTTTAGTCACAGCTTACCATATTCTTCTCCTCTGAGGATCTCTGGTGCAATATAATTTGGTGTCCCACAGAAAGTGCTTGTAGTGTCACCAGGGCCCAAACCTTCCTACATGCATAAATCATTTCATAAATTAAAAGCTGACCTCCTTTTCCAGGAATTTCCCTTAATTAGACTTAGTTAAGTCTAGCCAAGTTACTTAAGGAGTCTAAAGACCTTCCTTTCAAAAAAGGCAACGCCAGAGCAAATTAAACACTCGTAGTGCTCAAAGCTGGCTTATGACTTTACAGCTTATCTTCAGCAAATTAATTGATTAAAACTGAGTCACACCACGTTTTAACAACATTTTGCTTACTATTTACAGAGACATTTTAAAAAGTTTCAGATCAAAACCAATTTGGAAGTCCTTTTCAAATAGATGCTAGGAAAAGACCTTCTATTTTTAAGGAATGAAAGAATCAAACTTTTACATAACTGCTGCATTCCAAGTGAAGCCCCACAACCTGTGCACTTTGATAGCGGAGAAACATTCTAGTCCAGCGCTCTTAGAAATTGGTGCAATATCTATTCTACGGAGGGAGTGAGACAGGCTTTCCTCATTATGTCACCACAACATGCCTTAACCATGTTCTGAAATAAGCTAAATAAAAATCAGTATTATACACTCAGTCCTTCGACTTTTAAAAAAATCAACACAATGCCAGTTGCAATTTTGCCTTCAGAAACTTTTTCTGACCAAGAAATAGGCTGGACTCTAATCTCATTTCACATACTAGCCAGAAACGGTGTGGCAATACCAAGGAGACTTGCGGTCAAACCAACAGCGCTACGGGCTAGCAGAATTCTTGCCAGGTTACAGCCACTTCAGTCCTGGCTGGCATTGCAGCTTTACACACCTAAGTTTTAAATTTAGTATTTTCTATACTCGTATTTTCTGTTGACTTCTTGCTTTCCTCTGCATCACGTTAAGTACACGCTACACTTGACCAAGTGCTGTGAAAGCAACGCTCTCTAAATTGCCTCTCAGCGCCAAAGACTGCAGCTTAAGAGCACGACAGTAGCGAGCCCCCGGTGGTTAATAATCTGCACAGTCCAGCCGCAGGGAACGATGAACGCAACTCATATTCACAGCAACACAGTTACTAAGAGATTGAAGAGACCCTTTTAAAAACATACTTGTCTTAAAGAGAAATTTTCTACGTGGCCCAAGTTAGAAAACTGAAATAGATAAAAGAAATTAATTTGGCCAACAGGCCAAACTTCTTGAAATACACAAAGGAAAAAATTACAAATGTGGTTCTAGTCTTCAACAGTCATTTTTCAGAATACAGTTCCTATTCCACAACCAAATTCCAGGCTCAGTAACCCTAGTGTTGAGATAATGATAACTTTTCTCAGTTTTCTCTTAATATCACTGGATGCAGTATTTGACTTAAAAGCATGACCTAAGAGATATACTATTGAATGACAAAGTGACCAAAGAAAGGTAAGAAAAATCCTACCTTGCACATGCCATAATCTGTTAATTTGATATGACCCTCTGCATCTAAAAGAACATTGTCTAATTTTAAATCTCTGTAGATTATGCCTCTTTCATGTAGGAAGTTTAGAGCAATACAAATTTCAGCAGCATAAAACCTGAAATTAAAAAGGAGAAAATTCATATTACCATTAAGACTGTACAAAAGCTAGTGCAACTAAAAAAGATCTGTTGTTAAAACATCACTTTACATTCAGCTTTTCTCTATCAACAGTATACCAAAAAAGAGCTACGCTTACAAATAAGGACACTGATCTCACATATTGTAAAACCATTCCTTAAATTAAATATGGGAAATTATTTTTTCATTCTACCAATTAAGCAAATATTTATTCTTTTTCCCACAGAATTTTTTCTGAAAATTCCAAATGTGACATAGAAGATCTGTATTCTTAAGCTTACTAAAAGTTATGATGCGACTATGTAGTGCAAAGCCACACAAAATACATTTTTTTGTCATCTTCTAGCAATACTATATTAATTCAATGTAAGACCAAAATAAGTAGAATAGTTACACCTTCTATCAACAGATCAAAGAAGCATTACCTAAATATGAAGCAACAAACAAAAGTAGATAGCAATAACTATTAGCCCTTATCAAATGCTTGCTTTCTTAAAAAAAAACAAAACAAAACCAAACACATATCCTTCAAAAAAATAACATTTCTTCCCAGACCAGTACATTCTAAATTTAAGAATCAACCTTTCATTCTTTCCTTGCTATTCATATTCTTTCATGGAATACAGTTTGGAAAGCATTTCATACAACACTAAACAACCACAACACAAAAAACCCACTACAACCGCGTTAGTAAAATACCTTGCATGTTCTTCAGGAAGTTTTCTTTGCCGTTGCATATGAAACATAAGATCTCCCCCATTTACATACTCTATGACAAGAAACAATCTGAAAGTATATAATACAATTAATGGATTCCAAGGAAACTCGCAAGAAAAACTATTCTTATCCTTCCAATTTCAGCCATTTTCACTTCCACTCTTGAATTAAGACTTCTAGATTTCTTTCAGTTGCAGAAACTACTTAAGAAAAAAAAATAGAGTACTTATTTGATCCATATTATGTAGGATCACATCCTTTATTTAAATGCCAGACTAAATGCAAAGGAGAGCCAGCTGCATACAACAGGCTACTATTTGGTGTGAAACCTGCAGAACCACTTAAACAGTGCAGAAGACAACAGCATTTGCCTGATACAATGAGGTACTCAGTGATAGATGTAAAAAAACCCTAAGCATATAATGATATATAGAATTCTTTAAAAATTACTTAGAAATAACAGCAAAATCATGGAAGTATGCTAGAAGATGGCACATGGCAAGAATGACAGTTTATCCAAAAAAGGTAAAATGGTCATTCATTTGAAAAAGACATAATAATAACAACTTAGTTACACGACTATCTTTTATTCAAAGATGTTGATTCTTCTGACTTTTATGGAAGCAAATTCCACATATTAAATTTGCTCAATGAGCGCACTGCTTTGAATAGCAACATCTGATTGACTGGAAAAAGCCAAGCCTGCCTGAAACAATGCTGTTTATTTTAAATAAAGGGTTTAAGATTAAAAAATATTTTATAAGATGCATCATTTTAAATTCAAACCTTTCTTATTAAATCTGACACAGATTTACCCTGATGTAATAATTATTAAATTGTTACTATGCTTGACTAAATATTGTTCTTTTTTAATAGCCAAGCTGCAACATCAAATCTGAAGAGCACTGTAGATGAAACGTAGTTTATATGCACCTAAGTTAACAAGGTTTCCGCGTGGGCAAAATCTGAAAATTCTCATTTGTATTTTTGATCTAGTTTTGCCACTAAAAGGTCACCATCTTTTAAAAATTACTTCATCGTTAACAATAATTAACGAGTATCTGGCATTATTACAGAGATCGATATGTTTTGTAGTATTTGTGGTATTAATAAAATACGTAACTGTGAAGCTTGCTGTTTGTGCTGGTTCAGTTCCTGAAAAGCTCAAACAGATCTATTGAAAGCAAGATGACGTAAGACTCACTTAGAGGAATGTAACCCAAATTTACTTTCAAAAAAATTTATCTGAATAGCACAACACAATCTTTCTTCCAATTAAAGTTACATGATCTAGCATATTATTAATATACACATACAAAATGATTTCTATTAAGCCCTATGATCATCACTGAACTCTTCCTGATACACTGTTAAGAAATACACTGTCAATTCCTAGAAGAAAAAAGTTCTGGTTTATTTGTATAGATAGGCTGAGACTAAAGAATTTGAGGACTGAGAGACTCATTTCATGTATGTCCACTATTTATCAGAGATGAAAACTATACTGGGTGAGCTAGCAGGACAGGTAATGAAATCCCACCCTCCCTTGACTTTGCCAAGACCTTGGTCTGTAGAAAAAGGTGAATTAAAAGGAAGTGTAACGGACCCACTTCTGTTACTCCCTACACAGCATATTCACTAAACAGAAGATCTGGGCGCAGAAAGGCTGCAGCATCAAGGCTTATAATTTCTCTATAAAACAAGTTTTTGAAACAGTCTTCTCAAAACAAACGAGAAAAGTCAGTACGGGAAAAAATATAGGTGGAACCAGCCATATAAAAAGACTACTATTACAGCTTGCAGGAAAGGTTTCATCCTTGGGAAAATATGATCCAGGCAATGCTGCCAAGGTCAGAGAGACCTACAGGATAGAAACATGCTGAGTGAGAGTTTCTGATGAAGCTTGCTGCTGTCCCAAGAGGCAGTATTTCTTTATACACCTAATTTTCCATGAGCTGAAAACTCCTTTCCATATATTCAGACACTGGAAAACTTTCCATTTGGAAAACACATGCTCCAGCCTCTCAGACCATTCTAATTGGTTACAAAGAGGATTTTTTTTTCTTCGAAAAGGATTCTTCACTTGAAACACTTAGTGTTAAAAAGTTAAAAGGTAAAAAACCAGAAAAATTATTGGACACAACCCAGCTTGCAAGTCTTTCAGTGGCCTCCCCACAAGAGTATAAACACTAAACTAAAATTAAACAAACAATAAATAAAGTAGATAAAAACGTGATGCATATTTTATTACAGCATTCCTGGTACTTTTTGCTTCCAACTTTCCTATCCTATTTAGAAGCTTCCAATGCTTTATCACCATTCAGAACCTGCGATGTAAAGCTGCCTGTGTCAAGTCATGTTCAAGCACGGAAGTGTGGGAATACTGGTAGTCCTCGCTGGTTTTACAAGGATTTACTCAAACACCAATGGCTTTGCAGGAGGGAGGTTTCAGACTGTTGCCATCCTTGGAAGACACTTATCTGGCAATTCTGGGCAAGCCCAAGGCACGTATTTTATTGCGATAATAAAATAAGCATCATTAGTATCCGAAACAATGTAAACAGCTACATTTAGCATCAATTAGCATTTTTAAGTACACATTTCTTCTATCTTAAAATTTTATTTAAAATTATATTTAAGAGAAAGAACATGTTCCTTTGGAACTTCCCCCCGCCATCAGTACACTTATACACAAACTGTTCTCTCATTACAACTTGTTTTCTTTGGGCCAGTTAACATAATCTGATGTTGATGAATTTATTCACTTGAAATCAGTTTCGTGCTTCTCTTTGTTCCTGTAATTAGGTTGTAATTATGGTAACATTACAGCTATAACCAAATTGGGAATTCATGACATTATGGCTATATCCATGGCAAATAGCTGAGGTTACAAACAAAAAACTATAGTTTCACTGCAAGGCTGGAAAAACAAGACTCCTAAAGATACAGCAGAAAATACAGAAAACTTTGACTACGTTCAGCATATTTTTTCCTATTTCTGCTCCTCAACTACGTCAGCGTAACTACCAAAATGGCATGCAAAGGATCTTTCTATTGCTGACTTCAGCCTTTTTCTTGTTTCCAATATTAATAAGAAACCTCATTCGCAACACTTCGCCCTGCCTGGCCACTTGAATTTTTATATTAGATGTTCAATACTACTTAGTATTTGGTGAGAAGGTGTTTGTGAATGTTGGTTTAACTTAAAGGGCCTTTCGCAACAGCTTGTTGGTTCTCTAAAGTTGTTTCCCCCCCCCCCTTCTGTCTGCAAGACAGATTTCTTTTGGTCAAATCCTTAGTCAGTCACCTTTGGAGATCATTCTTTCTCCCTGCTCCAAAATACTCCCTAGTCCATGTACCTTCAGAACGCTCTTCATACAGCTTCTTTACTACCTTTATCTTAGCTATGTTTTCCCCACTAGGAAAATGCTATTTCTTAAGACTATAACCATTAAGGGGTTGAAAGTTTGGGGACTGAATAAATGGTACGGTGCATGCCTTCGTATTTTAAAAATCGATAACACACATTGTAATGAACAAGTGATTATTCTTGAGGATAAATGACTAGATAATCCATGAAAACTTCTTAAAACTGTTTGCACTCTACACTGCATGCCATTCAAGTAAGCCAGATAGAATGACTTTTATGTTCTGAATATGATACATATGGCACTAGGCATTATAGTGTAACAGTAAACAGGTGCCTGCGAAACAAAAAAAAACCCCAACTAACCACAAAACCACCACACATCCAAATTCCCCAGTGACATACATAAGCATGGGTATAAAAGTTCCCTTGATTTTCTTCATATTCCAATTGCAAAATAAGCAGCAAATAATCCACTTTGGATTGTGCACGCAAGGACAAAACCCTCGTATTTCAAAGTAGCTTGGAGTTTATTAAGCACTTTTCCAAATGAAATCACATACTTCATCAATATGTGCTAAGGGCTCATAAGCCTCATATACTTCATAAAAACCTTTTTTTTTACTTCGTAAAAAATACTTCATACACATGTAGGTTTTAAAGTTATTATTAAAAACTATTATTACTGAGCAGCCCCACTCTTACGCTATGTTGAAGAACAGAGAACTATAGTTTGGCCCTCAGAACTGATTCAGCCCTCCTCAGTAGAATCAGGCGTTATGAACTATCTCTCACAAAGCTCTGTTTCACCCTGCTACCATCCTCCTATTCCTGAAGCCATGCGGCCTGTGCTCAGGAAGACAGCACACAGTTCCTCCTCGTTCTCGTTCATCTTCTCCCTTCAGATCTGGAGCTGGAGAACCCCGCTGCCCTCTCCACACCGCACTGGCTGAGCTACCCTGCTAGAACTGGCTTTGTCGTAGTATGTGTGAATCCCCGACAACACCAATGCTTCTTTCCAAAAATTACTGACTACGTGATGGCAGTGGTTATGTTTGCTTTATGAGAAGCAGTTAGTACAATGATCAAGATTTTCAAAACAAAATAATTTCAGATCTTTCTTACCGACTTGTTGTTTGAAAGCATGAATGTAAACCAACTAGGAATGGGTTACTGGATGCCTGTTCAAACACATGTTTCTCTGTCTGTACCCAATCAATATCCTGAAATAGAGTAATTGAACAATCAGAACTCCTGCTGGATAACCGCTGTGGGTATTCCCAGAAAAGAAATTGTGAACATCTATGCTCCCTTACATATACCGTCATTGTTACATATGTTCTTCAGAAAGACAAAACCCCCTAAAATCTGGAGGGAGTTATAAAACATTGTAATTCAATTACATATTCAGAAGTTTAACCATTTAGAAAGGTCTGCATAAAATTTAAGCTATTTTAAAATATCATACATCTGCAATATTTGACACACTGCTCATACTGCTTCATAGAAATAAATTCAGTTATCTTAGATAAATGATCCTAAGGCTGCTGAAGCAACTCATGCCAGTAACACAAGAAATGTGAATCTCCAGTTTTTAAAAGGTTCAAATAAACTGAACATCATATTCTCATCTGAAACTCAAAATAAATTCAATGAAACCATGAAAACCTGATTAGTTTGCCCAACCAAAATCATCTTAAAAGTATCACAGGCTACCTTTAATACTTCAACAGGGAGAACTGAATACCCTCTGCTATACCATATAACAAAAAACTATCAAAATTTGAATGATACTAGCATAGTACTGCAAAATTCACAGCTATAACAACAAAGCATTTAATCATTTTTCATACAACCATACAAGATGTAAACCTTATGCACAACTGGTTTTAGCAGTAGATATTCACTCTTTATGCAATACACCAATTATGTTCCACCCTGCAAACACTCAATACCCTGCCAAGAAACTAGAAATATAATTGTTCGAAAAATTCTCCATTTCCAACAGATACTTCCAGCTTTCCAACCAATCCGGACACAAAGACAGATGCTGAGAAACCAGGCCTTCCTGTCAAGGATAGTTAGTGAAACTAAAGTCTCAAAGGAAATCAAGAAACATCACCATCAAATTAAATAAATCTGTTAGGTTTTGTGTTCAGACACTCCTGAAGATCTAACACCTTGGAAGGGTAAACCTGGGTCCAAACATGAGCCAAAAATCCGATTTTGAACAAAACAGTAAACATGTCCGCTTCTTTTTCTTCTTTTTGTTTTTACTGAATGAGCTTTCTCTTTAAGAGTTTTTAAACTAACCCCTTCATTTTTGACTTGTGTACTAGTACATTAGTATTTTACTAAGAGCACTACTGTTAACAAGATTAAGCTTAGAAAAATATAATAGCAGAAGCCCACATATTTGATTTGCTTCAATCTCATTTAGAAAAGAATCTTTACTTCTCTCCAGTATCAACCATTACCTGGCAAGCACTAGCTGATTTAAACATACTGACACTTGCTATTAATTCATTTTCTTTCTCCATGAAACGCTTACTAGGTGAAATTTCCATTACTTGCAATATCTCATGCATTCACAGAATTCAGTGAATTTCCTATCAATTCCCAGAATTTCATTATACAGCCTATCTTATAGAAAAGAAAAAACTATTAGCTCAATCTTCTATGTAATTGCCTATGAGAGCCACTATTCAAGAAAGACTTTTCTCATCTACCTCTGATTTTCAGGAACAACTGCATTAACTCATTAAATAATACTTTTCTTTACCTTCTTGGAAAAACACATGTTAAAAAGGAAACGGTAAATAAACCACGCAACCGACTAACCTTCAGTCATAAAAAGAAATATCAAATAAATGAGCAAGCCAAAGTATTTTTGAAGAACTTTACAACTTGACCCTCCTAACCCTAGCCTCTGAAATAATGACAAAAATGGCAGCCAGAAAAACTGATTGAAACTATCAACACAAATAGTCCTTAAAACAATGTGGTTTGGGTTTTTTCCCCCAACATCCTACTTTCGAGAAATCCAGTTTTCTTAACAGCATAAAATATAACATCAGCAGCTTAAAAATTGCATTCTATTTGAAAAATGCACTTTCTATTGTAAGAAACTCCCTGTGAGGTGAGACTGATTGTCCATCTCTTATTTCATTAGAGTTTGGGATTCCACCCACAGGATGACACTACTTCTTTACTCTTCAGCTATTGAACAGTGTCGTATCTCATGCACCCCGCCAGACACACCGCCACTCCTGCACGAGCATGTCACACTGCGGCGTTCCAATGGGGCTGGCGGTCTGACAACGCTGGTTACCGTTCTGTCAGCGCTCTCAGCTGGTTCGTCAGGGCTGGGGCCTGCCCACATGCATTCCAGCTGCCCCATCCCATGTTCCATTACTTAACATGGCAGGTTCCAGTCTAGTGGCATCGCAGGTGGTTCAACTCTGCCTTCCTTGCTTGCTGTGATTGGTTCATCACATTTACCAAAAAAATAGAATGGATCTAAAATCTATACCTATCGAGAAGTGTGAATATTATAGGAAAAAGATGAAGGGTTGGGTTTTTTCATTTTTCTGCCCCGCCCCCAAAACTTGTGCATTTGAGATTTTGTATTAAAAGAATTTCAAGAGGATTTTGCAAGACATTGAGAAATGCAGCACTGATTTCTGTGGCAGACAATTTCTTCTACACACCAGTTAAACCACAGTGTCCTCAAATGGTAGTAGCATAATTTTTTTTAAACCCATGGAAAAAAAAGTATTCCAGAGTACTGTGTCACTTGCACTAAGTTCTATAATCGTGACTAAGAACACACTTTCAGCTCCTATTATGAAATACAGGCAATACTTTGCACCTACATTCATTTGCCTTGGAAGACATCTTTGTTTCTTTCAAAACTAAGTGCCCAAATTCCACCCTGTTTATCTCATCGCTTACAGATTAGCACATCCAGGTTGGAATATTGTTCACGTGGCTTCTACTATTAATAAGACTATTAATAATTTATTGTTATTAAAATAAGGGACATTTCTCTCAGATGTAATCTCGGTGCTTCATGCAGACAGTTGATGACAAATGAGTTCAAATGTCAGTAAAACTTCTATTACAGAAATGCTGTCTAAAACCTTAGCTGCTTGCTTAGTTGAATGTTTTTTGTTAAAGCAAAGTTTTTACAATATGTAACGGAATGCAATTAACACAGACTTTTACCTCATCATCATGGACCAATTCTTTTTTCACTACTTTCATAGCATAAATTTGATCATTCTTTTTTAACCGAACTAAAAGAACTTTGGCATAACTTCCACGTCCGATAACTCTGATTAAATCAAAGTCCTGTAGTCCAAGCCCCTGAGAAATCTTAATTCCATCCATTCCATCAATGACTGGTTTGATATCCTGTATAAAAAGAAACAGATGCTAGAAACAGAAGACATTTTCATAACAAGTAACTATTAAAGCAAAGAGGTCTTTAACCACTGGACAGAATTTGCTGAGTTTGCTTGCCATTGTCACTGGCACACAGATCTGAATGGCTGATTATAACACATTTGCTTAGAAATGCTTGGTTGGTACTGGTTTTGCTCTTACTAAAAGTTACTGTGTTTTTCAAGGCAGTAGTTCCTTCAATGAATCATTTAAATATTCCCTACTGGAAAACAGAAGGCAATGCCTTAAGAAATGAGGTTTTATTCAAATTCTTGAGCTGCAGGCCATATAGAATTATCCTTTGCACCAAGCGAAGAGCATCTTTCATATTCTGAAAACAGATATTGTAGTACAAGTTAATGAAGGCTATCTAAAAAGAGGACGGATAAGGAAACAATGCTTGGCTAATGAACATATCTGTCTTGGTTTCAGTTTAGGCAACAGCTGTCTGTATTAAGTTCACTACCGTTTTAATGAAAATGAAGATTTCTAATAGGTGCCTGGGAACATATAAGAGCAGAAGGCAACTTCTCAAATGTAAGAATTGCAGGAAATACTCCACTAGGAAGAATGTTATTTTAGAATTCATTATTTAAAAAGATAAATTTTATCTGACTGTTCACTGAAATTAGACGTGAACATGTGAGACTGAAGATCAAGCAGTTGAACTAGACAAATGCAGCATGTACTTTGACATTTCACATTTTACCAATATACACAATGCTTTGACATACTTTGCGGCCTATTTTTATCTGACCTCATACTACTGTAACTTGTAGACAGATCAGCATTCTGCTGAACTATGGACAGTATTTATATAAAGAATCTTGATCTAGGATTGACTGCTATTAGAAGAGATTTCTGTGAGCTTAAAGATTCTAGTCAAAGCTCCCAGAATGGCACTTCCTCTCTGTAGGATACCTTAGATTATTTTAGTAAAGCTCAAAAGCAAGGTGGGAAAATCAGAGCAGCATAATTCAGGACAGCTGTGCAAACAGCATCTATCAAAATTTAAACACAAACAGTATCTACCTGAGCACTAACCATAGCAGAAGTCAGCAATTCTAGATAACAATTAAAATTCTCTGATGTGTTTTAAATTTATACCCTTCCATCTCTGAATTTGAGATAAAATCTAAAGACACATGACCAAAAATAGGGCAGTCACTTACCAAAGAGCAGGAACTACTCAAGTGTGAAATAACGGTAGTGACAAGTATTGTAGTGGAGGTAGAGGAAGAAAAGGTGCAGGCTTGTTAAAAGTGGGCTATCAAGCTAACTGCTAGTGCTCTGCAGAGTGCATCCTATTTATTAAATATGCCAGAAGCTTTTTTAAAAAAAATGTCTTGAAGCCCTTTAGAATTAAAGCGTACTGGGATTTTTCAAACTGCTTTAAGGAATAACATTCTTGCTATGCAGAGATTGTGTCAAACCATCTACAAAAAGAGCTGAAAAACAGAGTTTAAGTGTATGTTATGCTACTTGTATTTCCACAGGAGCTGTCTATAAATTATGAGGTATTATTTAGATGAAACATCTCAGAGAGCTGGATAGTTAATGTATTATCAGACTGAATCAACTTTCGTAACAATAGCCTTTAGATGTAGCCTAAGGATGGTAAAGGGTGTACATCCATTAGAGAGAGCAGACAAGACAATGTCAGACCCACCATTTGTGGCAAGGACCAATAAAGTCAAACCCTCTGCTAAATCACTGTCATTCTAACAAGAACAGAGGGGAGGAAAAAAAAAAAAAAAAAAAAAGAAAAAAGTCTCTCACATCATGATTGGGATAACAAGAGCTGTATACAGAAGAAATCTGAAAAAAAATCAAAAAATGCTTAAAAAAATATTAATTTTCACAAAGACAACCCAGACTTCTTTTTTTAAATGGTAGCAGAAAAACATAGGACAAATAATTAGCTATTTTATAAAAAGTTGTATGATTAAGAGTGTGTAAATGTGAATTACAAAAGTATTTTTAAAACATACCTCGGAGTCATCTTTAATGTTGTCATGTTTCCGGTTGGAAGGAATGTAGGCAACTGGAAAAGAAATCAAATAAGTAGTGTGCTTATTAAGGCCTTCATTAGAAATAATTTTAAAAATTGATAAATGGAAAGATGCTTTAGTAGCTTAGGGTCAGCAGTTTGCTTTATATACTATGGGTCAGCTGATGAAATTTTTCCACTTTATTCTTGTAATCCTGACAGCAGATCCTAAGGGCACTGCAGAAACAACCAACTCTGAGACTGTAAGAAAGAAATTCATCAATGAGCCTGTGAGCTCGTAACAGTACCCGGCGAAGGCCAGAGTCATTCTGGAGAATGTGTATAACAAATGGGCCCTTAAAACAAGACAGGTTAAACCACCAAAAATATTAACCTAGAGTACTCCAAATCGCACAAAATTAAGAAACACTTAAAAAGTCTGAGGGTGCACTTATACGAGCATCGCAGTTTGGATCTAAAGTGCAGGTTTTTTGTTTGCTTTAAAAAGTAAGCCTGTCGTTGCCAATTGCTCTGTGCTTAACTTCACGTTCTGGAATGGTTTCAGAGCATATGAATTGAGGATGAAACCAAACCAGATGATATGCTTCAGCAGTACATTTACTGTAATTGAGTCCCTAATGAGCATTTAATTCATGGGACTAAACTAGAGGTAATCCAAAGTAAACTTTAAAAAAAAAAATGAAACAGGTAGAGTGGAAACTGGGCCTCCAAACGGGGAAAGACACAAATTCCAGCTTAACAAGAAAGTACTCACTTCCATCAGTTTCTTCTGAAGGGAGGTCAACTTCATCATTTTTATCATCTAACTGAGGTTCCTGGGAAGGCATGACCGAATCCTTGCAAAATACAGGAATATACATGTGTGTAAATATAAAAAAAAAAGTTGGTTTATGCAGTCCCTTTTAAGTGAGCATGACTTGCCATGTAACTACAATACGACAACCTCACATTTGCATCTTCCTGAATGAAAACTGGATTTTGTAGAAAGTATTTCCAAACATTAACATTTTGTAATGCATTATAAAACCAGCCTACCAAAAGCCTAAATGCTGTCAACTGTTCTCTGCAACTACAACAGATGTTTAGCTGTCTCCTAAAAGTAAGATCAGTAGAATTAAAGTTTGAACTTTGCAATAAACTATATTTAAGACTTCTGAGTCTGTTTCACATGGAACTGCAACAAAGTAAACACTTCAGCATGATGTTACACACTCAATTTAGAGCACTGGCTTATTCCTTTCCTGTTTAAAAAACAGGAATTGTTACTCATTATGCAAGGTATTGCATAAATTGGTAAAGATCACAATACCAAATAGTTTTATAGTACATTTGGACCCTGGTCTCATTTACAACTCATTATGAGACATGTAGGACTATTCCAGTATGTATATCAACATGCATAAATAAATTGGCAAAGAATCCAGTAATGTCAAGGCAAGCCATACGCAATACCAATAAAGAAAAATACTGGCTTAAGTTTTGAGTTAAGTGACAACACGGTGCAACAACCAGTGAGATACTGGTTATAGTCTGTGATGAGTATGGGGAAGGGCTAAAATTCAGGGATACAGATTAATGTTTAAAGTCTAGGAAAGACACTAGAGTTGCCACTGGACTACATGAGGCGAATGGAGAGGATGAGAACAGTACTGGAGAAACTGAGACGGCAAGAACGTGAAAGCAACAAGCCTTTTTGCAAGCGGTTGCAAAACCCCATTTTTTGCAAAAATCACGCTAGCACCTTAGTTCTTAAAACATTCCCATAGGCTAAAAGGAACAAACACTAAGATTGTCAATGACAACTCTTTATCTATCTGTAAAATTCAATAGGTCTACTGGAGAAGTCAAACTCAAGCTTGCTCACACTTAATTATCACAAGTTTCCTTTCCTCACTTTGTCTACTGCTCACGATCCAGAGGCTTGTCCTCCATAGATATTTCAGAAACTGAAAACCAAATACCGTCCAGTGTTATAAACCTACAGCCATGCACAGCATTTAAGTACTTCGGATGGACATTTAGAAACAGCAACACAGGACACAATGAAACATCTTAGCTTTATACAGAATGCAAACTTACCATATGCCTTTTGCAGGTCAGTGGAACAAGTATATGACAACGTTTATGGACCAACAATTTGCAGTTGATACACTTGTAGCCTTGCCTTCCGAGACCCCATATCCTTTCACTGCACTGGCCACAGTACGCTCTCTAAAAGCCAGAATGCATATTACCAGTTCAATTATCAGTTCCTTTCTGTAGGCGAGTAGCTAGAATTTACCCTACAAGAACTATCCTAGTCACCTCCTAACAGATGTTCAATAGCAATTCTTTTAGAATATCCAGGGTTTCCCCAATAACTGAAGGTCACACTTCATACTTAGAATTCAGCTAAATGCAGTCCTTTTTTAATGCATGTCAAGAAAACAAACATCTCAAGCATATGGAACATATTACAGCTTAACATTAGCATATCATTCTTAGAGAATAAGTGTACTTTGAATTTCAGGTTCTGACAGAGGTTACCCAAACAAAACTGACAGGAATTTGTACTACACAATTACACATAAAAAGCACCCAAACTGACTGCTTTGGAGAACGCTGGCACAAAATGTAACAAAAGACACGTTAAATTATGAAGAATGTTCTATATCTGCACCTATATACTTGAACAGTGGTAGAACATCAGCAGAAACTTGGCATAATTAAAACTCATCTGTCAAGTCTGATGCAAAACCTCTGTATGTTGCACTATTTAATATCAAGAATATATGGCCTTTTTTTATACATGCGACAAAATGGCATCTGAATAAGTTAAATCAAAATGAGGACAAATTAGGAAGACAGACATTCTACTGCTGACTTTAACAGGGCAGGTCTTTAAATAATTTTTCCAGCGTATGTGTGCTGTGGTCATTTTATCCACTTTACACAAGGTGCCAAATAGCAATCTCCGATTCTTGCACACCAAGAAGTCACCTAGGCTCAGTTACCCCTCTACACAGCGCACAGGTTGCCAGCAGAAGACTTACTCATTATTCCCTAACTGCAAATTTTCTCCAGTAATTACTGTAACAGGCAAAGACGTTGCCTATCATTCTGCAAGCTGCGCATGAAGTCCTGCGCTCATCCCCCATTTCAGGCTTAGACAGAACTCTGCAACTGTCCCAAAGCCACAGAACAGTGGAAGTCTGTTCCTCCCAGCAAACTGCAAGTTAGTGTGGTTACTCAGATCCTCAGACTAATGAATCACACACAGTGTCCTGCCCAAAAGTGTTAAGCTACTATAAATCCTTACTAGTAGTATTAGAAAAAAAATTTTAAAAAATTAAAAAGAAATAATGATCAAAGAACAGATCATTTTTTAAAAAATATTTTCTGTATTGCCCTTCTCATAGTAGTAGATAGTTGTAGAAAACAAAACTTAACTACACCCCACTCATCTGCACAGCCAGTCCTCCCTGATCAGGAGAAACCCAAACTGCATTGCCCAGGAAAAAAACCAAAAAACATACTGCCTAATAAGACAGGAAGCCTTAGACATCTATAGCCACTTCTTTCAAAATTCCTGGTCCATCAGACTCCTTCAGTACTCTTGTATAGGTTTGGCAGCAGTAATATTAAGACTAAATAAAATGTCTTAGGCCCTGGAAATGACACACGAGAAAATAATCTCATTTACTTTAGTCAAATGCAGGCAAGCAAGTGGGGAGGGTGGGGGGAAAAAAAAAAGGATGTAGGGGCAGCTCCCAAATTCCTTCAGTAATACAGGTATCGCTCTCATACCTCTTCAAAACACATAAAAACACAGCAATAACAAAGAGTTAGCCTTTATGTTATGTTCAACAAAATTAAAAGTTTAGATTCTTACATGTGTTCATTTACCTGAATTATCTGAAAAAGTTTTAAAAGGTAATTTTGAAGAAGGAATGAATTCAGAAGGTAATACTTCAGTCTTAAAAATTCAGTCAATATTAAAATTTGTTATCTACTTCAGTAATACATATATGACCGTAATTTATTATTAATTTATACATTTTAATGTCACATTTTACCATTCATGTCAACTTTATTACTAACTTCAGTTGGATATGGCTTGTTTTCTAGCTTTATATGATTTCATTTGTATCCAGACAGTCATAACGAAGTAGTCTTGTTTAGCATTGTTGACAAATGGGCATGCTAATGAGGTTTCAAAATCTTTATGTGTATATTCACTATTTGCCTAATTTCAATTAAAACATCATTATCTATAACATTATGGATTATTAATGTGGCAGGTATACAGTCACAATGTTTCAAAGAAATATGTTTTAACTATGTAGCAAATAAACACAAAGTACACATTTCATACTATAAATTAAAAAAATTGTAGCGTAGCAACTCATTATACAAATGCATGTTATAATTCAGATATATAACTCATTTTTCACATATCTAGTGATAAGATACTGAGTTTTAAGGGGCTTTTCTTTCAATGCAGTTTTGGGGTGGGGAACATTAAAAAAATGCTAATTTCATATTAAAGAAAAGGTTGCTGCTGAATCAAAAGATTAACTCACCTCCCTGTACTCAGTTTTATATGGAATTCCCAAGTGTATACTACATTTGTATATATGCTGCAATACTTAGGCATAATGGGATAAGTGAAGGAGGTGTCTCAGCCTTAAAGCTACATTCACTTGCTTATATGGATCAAATCAGATTCTTAACGCAGTTCTATTTTAGCTCAATAAACCAGATTTTTTTTTCCTTAAATTATGTAATACATCCGATTCAAAACAGTTAAGCTAACACCAAGAGCTCTAACCTTTAAGAACGACAAAAAGTACTGAAGGTAAAAGATTATGCTAACAAGCCATCAAAATCACATAAACAGTGGAGAGGAGAAAAGCTGCTCTAAGTATGCATCAGTTCAAATAGTCACAAACCGAGGTTTTTTTCAAGACTTTAAAAATAATTTCCACCAGCCATATATGATTAACCCCATCCCAGATTCAAAGACTTTAAAGTTTTTCTGATCGTTATGACCTGAATAACGCTGCATGGACTGAGAAGTCACATGAATAAGCATCTTGCTTCGCCTTTCTTTTCAACACTCAAATACAGAAAAAGCACAGACTGAGAAAACAATTACCACAGAACATTACCAAAACCCAACATTTTATGCAACAGTACTCACTCTGTTAAAACGTTTGGCTTGAAACAAATGCCCATTCACTCGGTACAGCTTCCTCCATCTTCTGGCTCCACGTCGGTAGATTGACTCTAAGAAAGAAATTAAAAAGGTGTAAAGCAGCAGCATGGCAGCGCGGCAATACTAGACACACTATGTTAAGCAAGTTGTGACTTAAAACAATCTTGCTTTTCTAAATATCAACGCACAGCTAAAATCCCTGCTGATTTTTTTTTTTTTTTTTTAAAGGCAGCCGTAAATGACAGCTTCTGCAGGATGTGCTTTCACCACCGCCTCTCCCTTTTCTCTATCCCTGTCTCTTTTTCCTCACATGATCATAATCTTGTTACAGTTCCTTGGCCGCTTGCTGTTCAGGCTCAGGTGAGGGGACAGATAACTGTTAAAGACACAGCCGCCTCTGGCAGAGCTACGATGCTGATCTCACCATCCCGCCTTCACACATAGCCACGTAATAATGGTGCTAATAATGCTTTAGATATGCACGTTAAAGATGCTACAAGTCTTGAGTTACATTATTTCACCTCACTTCGTCTCGCCATTAAACACTACCAAATTGTTTCTTCTGTTAGGGAACCTGAGTTCAAGTGCAGGTCTGCAAATATTTCTAATATATTCTAAGCATAACAACAAGAAATCATTTAATCTGTTTAAGCCAGACTTTCCAAGAGGCCATACACGATGGTACGTAGCATCTACTCCAAATTACTTTTGTTGTCACTTTTCACGTACATATGTGCAATTTCTACGTGACTGGCTAATTAGCGAATTTGATATTTAATACTTAGAATTGAAAAATGTGTTGTGCAACACCGGTCTATTTAGAGCTGCAGGCGGCTGTAAGGGTGACACAGCCAGCTCCTGCCACATAATCAGGATCATGAGCTTTCCACAGCGGGCAACACAACCGGGTACTGGGGGGAGTGGGGAGTACGGGGGGAAAGTTAAGCAAAAAAATTCCGCAGCAATGTTAAAACTGACAACATACTCCTGCTATCAAGACGCCAAAAAATTGTTTAAAAGTCAGATTTGGCAAAGTTTTCATTGCTGAATAATTAGTTCTAATTACACCTATTAAGAGATTCAAATTTAGGACGTCTCAAAGTTTACCAAAATATTTAAAGTTAGCAAGCATGTTTTAGACAGTGAGACAGGTCTGACACATCCCCTTAAACATTTCCAGGAAAAGTATTTTACAGTGCTTTTATGGGTGTTATAATATCCTTTTACTTGAAAAAGAACTACGAAGGACTAGAACAATTCTTATTTTGATATCATTATTTTAAAGGTATTTTCAATAACATGATAAGTAGGTTTTTCCAAAGTTTTAACTGTATGCCTTTTTAAAAACAAATCATTTATACTAGTTATAATGCAACTTAACACAGTTGGCATCTTGTACAAAATATATTTCATCTACTTTGAACAGGAAAATTAGCAAGTACAGTAGTTTCATAGGGAATGGAAACTAAACAGCATAGGAAGCATGAATAACTCCATCTGGAAAGACAGCAGTAAAACACATGCTTTAATGGTACCTTCTGGATGGCGACATCTACGCGGTATTTGGTACCTAGGTGCACTGGCTCTGCCAACCAGAACAACTCACTTTGATAATAAGTGATTTTATTTGGTTAATAGAGTGATCCGTGCTTTGCCCCTGTCACCTTAACAGGGTATGTCACATTACTTTATTTTTCTCTTTTCTAAAAGTTGCAACTTCTCTGTGAGAATCTCAAGTCAGGAAGTTGAACGGGGGCGTGGGGTGGTGCGGGTGTTCGTTCGTTTGTTTTTAAACTGAGAGTCTAATATTATGTTAGCTGTTAAAGCGGTTTCACTTCTATTAGACTGATTAAAGGACAATCTCTAACAACTAATATTGTATGTAGAAAAATATGTAATTTTAACTAAAACATCCCAGACAACGCAGCAAAGAACATTTAATATAAAAACTTTGATAGACTTGATGGATAAACATTGCTACGTTCTGACAACGTATTAAACTGTCAACTTATAATCCTCAGAAGTTAATGCAAAACCATCTTAAACTTTCATCTTTAATGTTTCCGTCTTTCAAGTTTTAAACAGTTAAGTTTTAAATATCCACACCTTATCAAAGATGAAGTGGTTTTTTTTTTTTAAAATAAAAAACCCCAAACATTTTCACTGTCAAAAGCTAATGCAAGTAGTAAATAGTTTCTTTGTTGAAAAATTATTTTAACTTAATATTGAGCCAATATTAAGCCAAAATCACAGGCTACTGACATACAATGTGTGAACACTGACTGTGATACTGGGCCTGATTTTAGATACTCTATTCTTATCCTTCAAAAGCAAGGCACATAAAAGTATTGAAGTTTCTGTGACTCCACAGATCTACAGTGCCAAATCTGCAAACATTCATCTGTTACTCTATTTGCATGTGCAAATGTTTACTTTGCAAGCATTTGAAACAGACATTGCACCATTAAATGAATTGTTAACAATTTGGAAAGAAAAACAACTTCTCAAAGAAGCTGAAAGACCACATGCTGTAGAAGTGGCAACGATACAGTTACTAGAATAGAGGTGTATCGCTTGATACATTCATTTGACTCAAATAGCTCTTCAAAATCTGCCAAATATAAACTTTAAAGTAAACACACACACCCCCACTTTTCCTAAGCGCAATGAAAATTTAAATGAGAACCTAGCAAAACTATTGCAAACTTTTTGCCTAAAAATATGCTCAAACACAAACATCAATGAAAAACTGTTCCACCACTTGGGGGATGACTTTTCACCAAGAGAAAAAACAAACTTCACAAGGATTTTTTCCAAAACAGCTAATTGATTCATTAGACAAAGCACCATATGGAGGCAACCTAATGCATCTGTGTTCTGAACATTAGCTTATCACTGACATGAGGAATATTAAGTGAATGATAAGTTAACGAGCAGCTTGTGCTGATGAAGTCTGTAAATAAAGGAGCAAGTCACTTCCCTAATTAATGATAAATATTAAATCAAAGTCAGGGTTTTGTATCATATACTTGTGAGGCAACAGTCTAACAAAATCCAAAGTTAATATAGCATAGCTTTAAAAAGTAGGAACCCCTACAATTTACCGCTATGACTGCCACCGATTCAGAGCAGCGTCTAAGGCAAATCAATTCTGTGGCCCCTTCTAGAGACAGGGAAAACTAACAAATAAGAAAACGGTGATTACTGTAAGACAGACCTTTATATCACAAGTTCTGTTGTTATTGCTACACAACAAGAATAAATTTATATGACAGAATGCTATGTTCTTAGCATTATCAGCCACAGTATTCATTTTTGCGATCCACAGTCAGTCAGTAGCACAAAGCCCAGTTGCAGCCCGGTGTCCTGGTTTCGGCTGGGATAGAGTTAATTTTCT